TCGAGTGTTAGAGTGATGCGTGTGGGATATCCAGGGTGATCCAGTGTATGTGAACAGTGAGATGTTTGGGCGCTGAGGTCGCCATAGCCAATTGGGAGTGAACTCGTATCTGAAAACCATATCTCTGAATTTTGAGTGGGCGCATGTCGCCAGTATGCTGCGTTAATGTTTACATGTGTGAAAAGTGTGTTTGAAAACGAGTTTGATTGCAGAATAGCACACAGCATGGTGAGACACCAGAAAAAGTTGAACCCTACACTTTAGAGGGATCTGAACAGGAGGGGACAACTAAGATCCAAAGCATAATTAGTAGTTACATAATGAATAAATCAATCAATGAATCAGTACATAGACTCAAACTCATCAGCAACCTCCAGCACTGTAGCCTACATGCAGTGGTCGCAACCCGCATGCATGTACCCTGAACATGCAAGAAACCCATACCTTCATCGTCCCCGAACAGAGAGCGTTTCAATTCCTCTTCTGCCGTACGCCCAGTGCCTATGCCTCCATGTTCCTCTTCATCCTCGTCTTCTAATTCCGCTGCACGCCGCCTCTCCTCTCGCTGAGGCTTACCAGCTTTCTTCAACCTCTTCAACCTCTTCTGCTCCTTGGCCTGACCGGAACATCACAGATAATACAATTCCCCACCAGAAGCCAAAATACCAGTCACAACACCATCCAACACATCATAACAATGCACATTGTTTGGTGGGTCTAACCCCCATGACTGAAATATCGCAAGTGTGCCCTATGAGAAGGGAGTAGAAAAGTCGTTAAAAAAACTGGTAAAAGGGGAAATGAAAGTGCAGTGCTGTGGGTGCAGGAATAAATCGAATGGCGATATAACCAACGACAACAAAGAGCACCATTGTCAACTCAGTGGCATGATCAATTACTAACGCAAACCTGCCACTCAATTGGCTATCTGGACCCATTGGTTCACTCCTTTAAATATCTTGGTCCTTTCCACAGCACCGAGGGCTAATAAGAAGGTACTTGTGTCTCAGTGTCAGGGGTGAGATCTGTTCTTACTATGAACGCCTACATGTACTAAGGATGGTTGCATGATTTGGGGATACAAACCCCCACTTGCCACAGCTCATGCTATACGAGGGGCACAGTTGATCTCGAGATTATGGTGACGACAACACTAGCTCAGAAGAGGGGGCACATTCAGGAAGCAACAGCATCGCCTTAGGAGCAGCATTCTCTCTCATATGTTCGATCTTTCTGCTGCGATGGTGAAGTGGCCTACGTATGGCGCCAAACTCAAGCGCCCTTCTCCGAGCAGCACCTAGCAGGACTCAGTCTTCCATAGATGGTAAAGGGCACACATGACTTCCATACACACACGCATGCATACGTACATCCATGTATGGATGCACATTGTCAAAAGAAAAGCGTGGTCAAAAATCGCTGATGGGAAGGTAGATAAGTGAAAAAACAAGAGAATGATAAACTGTTGTGTCAGACTGGAGGAGACATGTTGGCAGGGTGAAGCCTCCACAATCTGCAGAGCCCTGCCAATATTTTTCCCATACTCTGTTACAACCTAAAACTAAAGCAGACAACCCATGCCCGACAAGTCTCCAGATAGGAAGTCCACATTCACGAAATAAACATAGAACAAATAGCGGAAAGAAAGGAACATCTCGTTTCCATTCCCTTTTTTTTGTTGTTAGGAGCAAGGCTTCCCATGTTTTTGTATTTTAAGCGTTGAGCACCACACACCCTTCTTCTATATCGACACACCGAGATCATTGTTTGCATGTTTGAACTTGGAAGTACCGACCCACAGATCCGCTATCTGTTCACATATCTCGATCATCATTCAAATTCTACTAGGTGGTTGAGAGTTTTCATGTCCGTACTGGTTTCCGCGGCCTGTGGAATCCATGAACATTCTCCTGCAGGAGTTCGTAGTCATCTTCATCCAACTCCAGCTCCCTGATGGAACCACAAGACAACGAGTTCAGCCAACAAATCATTAGCCATAACCACAACCATCAGCACATTAATAATTAATGTAAGCAACCATCGTGATCATCACAATATGCTGTGGATCCTTGCCCATGCTGTCTTTCCAGAACCTTCCTCGTCCATAATGTCATGCAACGCTCACATCAACTGGCTGATACGTTGGCCTCAGTACGGCATGAGTTCAACACCCTGTATGAACAGTGTCGTCACGAGCCTATGAGCCTATCTCTATCTATTCTCATACAATTCCACTCTAATTTGCAACGCCAAATCAGAATATTTGCCATTTAATGATAGAGTTAAGCTGCCAAGACACAATAACCTGTGTGTGAGCAGACCCTCGATCCAACTAGTAGAATTCCTTCTATAATCCCACTCTCACTTGCAACGCCAGATCGAATCCACTTGATACTTTCACGAGGAGGAGTAATGGAAGGAAGAAGCAGGCGAAGAGGAGGTGGAGACAGAAATGTTGATGTTGTGGATGGGGTAGAGGAGGGGGGTAATACTCTTGGACCAGAAAGGACGACAAGAGAGACAACGCACTATACAGGGACTCGGAACAGGGCTGCGAACAACACCAAACAGAACAAATGAAACAAGGGAGCTAGCAGGGCTCCTTGGCAAACCAGTGAGATTTGAAGGCTTCAAAACAAACGAGCAATATACCGGGCCCAACAGGTCCATAAAACTACCACACTGGCTCCAGGCCGGGTAATCTGGCTTCTCAAGGTTTGGTACTGGTATGGACCGCCTGTGCCCATTACAGCAGTCATAGCCCAACATTAAGAGCCCATCATAACATAACGTGCCCAAACAGTCCCATCAGGTTACCAAATGTTAAGAACCCCTCACACAGTGATCGGACCAAGCGGTCCATCATGGACCCAAGCGGTTATAAAACGTTAAGAGCCTGCCATGCTGTAGCGGGTCCAAACACTCCACAAAGAATGACAACCACCAAACCTGAGGTTCACTTTGGATTCGAAAAAAACTCCAGGACAATACCTTTCAGACTTGGTATGCTTGGCCTCTGGACCCAATATGCCAGTCCGATGGATCTAAACAGGACAAAACCGCCAAATTGAATGCACAATTGCTGTGCTACAGCAATACTGGATACGGTTTCCTTTTCGTCACATCATCTCCTGGAACCTTGTAGGCGACAAATACTCCATACAATTTGAACCTCAACAAATAAATCTATCATAAAACAATGTTCTTCACTTGATCCTCGTTGGAAATAATTAAGGCACGTGCTCGGGAGGTGTGTTTCGGCATACGTAACTGCAACCACAAGGGCGAAGTGGAATAAGAAGCTTATGAGGCTTCTCAAGAGGAAGTGCAGAAAAATGCACCCGATACGGTTTTTTTTTTTTTTTTGGGGGGGGGGGGGGAGGAGAAGGTGGCTTGGGAGAGTGGGAAAGGGGTGAGTTGATAGTATTGTGCAGGGGAAGGGGAAAGGAAGGAAGAGGGGAGAGGGAAAGGACAAATGCATGTGCTACACGGATGCACTCGGGGATGCTTCACTTTGGTTCACTCTTTCGATTGACAATATTTGTTATGTAGTGTGATAAGAGACGAGTGATTCTGAGTTGCGAAATCCAACTGGTTGGCCTTTCTCCTCATCGTAGCTTGTACTTGGTGTGCTATTTTTGCATTTTGCGTTAAGTGTGGTTGATGGTGTGTGAATCTTCATTTCTGCTTGCTCAGTCAGTGTCTGATCATCTACTGAGCCGCTACACTCTCGCTCAGCTGAACATATAAAAATGACTCATCAATCACCCAAATAAAGAACAGAACTACTTCCAGCGTTGGCCTAAAGCACCTGAAGATCAATTGACCACATCGTTGACAATTTTTGACCAGTTCAATTGAACACCAGATGAAAGTGCTACTTGTATATCTGTACATTTGTCGCCATAGCACAAGAAAAATATATGAAGGAACAGCTTTATTGCCGTAGAGAACTACCCATCAAACACAAGCAGAAAGGGAGAAAAAGACAAGAAATCCGAGGTTGCAACAGACTGTTCGTTGGAGCTTCACTGACTCACCAACGCTGAACCCTATACAAACACATCCTCATGCCGTCTTTTCAAACTTTGCGAGTGAAGTTGACCAGTCGACCACAGGACCAACTGACCAGCTGCCAGTCTACCCATTGACCCACTGACCGGCGGACCAGTTGATCATAGATGAGGTAGTTGCAACACAAAAACAGTTCCGTTCTGTAAAAGATGTGTTTGAATGCAAATGCTTCAAAACGAAACGCTGCAGTCATTCAGGCCTCCTTCCGTCCGGCTCATAAATAAAGGAAAACGTGTTCAAATGCAACGGCCACGGAGTGGCACCAAAACAATTCCCAGCCCAATACAGTTTTCCTACCCATCTCTTCACCTGGCCAGTCAGTAGAAGGCCGCAAAACAATGAAGAAACATGGCAGAGAGACTGTGAGGGAGAGGTGGGCGAAGACATTCAAGCAGCAACAGAAGCACCTTCTCAAGCAGTAACAGAAAAAATGGGAGAGAGAGAGAGAGAGAGCAGATAAGAGGTGGAAGAACGTGTACATTACAGTTGGGTTCAAGGAGCTGTTGTCACCTCTTCTTACGCTTCTTTTTCTTGTGCCTAACCTCCTCCTCATCGCTCCTTTTCTCTTCTTCCTCGTCATCACCTCCCTCTTCCTCCTCGTCCCCATCTACTAAGAATCCGTCCTCCTCATACTCATCCTGCCCCTCTGCACATCAGACACAAAGATAAACAGTCGACAATGTCAGATCTCCTTCCATCATCAACTGATCGACCCCAGATTACTCCAGCATTATATTATATTCCGTTACGATTCAAACTCGGGTTTATTCATCAGCAGTTATATGGGTATACCATTCAGCCACATGGGCTGGCTTCCTTCATTAATTTAACTTGTACTCATCCTGCCCTTCCACGTGTCACATACAAAGATCAAAAGCCAAGTTATTGGCAATCTCAGATCCCCTTCGTTAATTTTACTGCACGTAAAGCCAAAGCGGCCAGCTCCCACAACTCACCAACTCCAAGCAGATTGCCACTAAGAAAGCAGAGGAAACGATGGAGGAAAAGAAATGCCACAAGTTGCTGTGGCCTTACAAAAGGGAAAGGCTTCACATGTCGTACAGTAGTATCTTAAGAAGGTGCCCAGGTTTCATCAGACTGGTTGATAACACATCATATCGCGCGACCGTGTCACAAGTGCTCATTATTTTGTAGAAACTCACCAAAAAAAGTACTATCCTTCAACCCCAGGCTCCCCCTTCCCGTGCTTTGTGGATCGAGTGCTCTTCCACGTTGTATATACGCCCAAAATTTTTCTATGCTTCTGTCTTATTTGCTAGACCAGCAAAAGAATATAAAATCGATTTGATCAATGATTTACAGAGTATTCTTTGTCTGGAATCGAATCACCTACTTTTAAAGTAAAAATCATTCTTTTTTTTCTTGCCAATATTATTTTTTATTTTTTTTTATTGGAAGATAGTAACTAGTAACATGTATAACTTTGACAACCCCAGGCGCCCTCCTCCCCCTCCCCTCACCCCCATGCCTCCACCCAGACTCCCTGTCTGCCTTTGATATGCACACCTGTGCCCTCCTCCCCCTCCCCTCACCCCCATGTCTCCACCAAGACTCCCTGTCTGCCTTTGATGTGCACACCTACAGTCTTCCATCACCTATCACTTATCCACATCGCTCGGCACCCCTGGGGGGGGGTGAGCGGGCAGGTCCGCGTACATACTCATCAACATACCAAGTCCTATTTGCTTCTTCTTCACTATACCATTGTTCTCTCCTCAATCGTCACAGATCACCACACTATCGCTCCAGTCTTTTCCCTCCATTTGCTGTTTCTTCTCTCCCCCACTGTAACATACCACCACACTCTCACTTCAGTCTATTCTCATCCAAGCTTCTCATCCCATCTATACGCCAGTATCTCCCGACCTCCACTCAACAAACCACAACCACTCAAAATGCATCCTATCCTTTGAAGAGAGAGACCATCACACTCCGTCCATCATATCCCTCCTGTCAATCCACCACCGCCTCGTCCCTACAGATGGCATCTTCCTTCAAAGAGATACCCTCACACTCCTCAGTCTTATCCCTCCCCTCAATCCGCCTTCTTCTCCTTCTTGAACATCACTCATCCCATCGCCATGCACAGGCTGAACAACTGGAAACAGCCAACTAGGATTCCAAAAGGATTAAAAAACACAGATGATATCGTCATATATATTGTCACATGATATCAGAGCGCCAAAGCGAAAAACAAAGAAAACAAGGAAAACAAGAAAAACTGAATTCATTTTTAATCTTCTTCCTTACAACTCCCCCTGTTCAGAACCTCTTGCGTACAGGGCCGCCCAAGTGGATGTAGGTTGAGTGGCGGCTGGCCCCACCCCCGTGTGTCATATCGACCAACTTGCACACAGCCAAAAGGCAAAGAGGCAAAGAAAAGAGGAAGGGGAACAGCCAAATAAAACAGAGCAGGGGGCAATAAAACAGATCCCAGATGACACGTCCCTCATGCAAGCACCACCCCTGCCCACAGGCCAAACGACGGGACAAGACCAACCAGGACGTCAAAACATTCTTGTCTGCAAAGAAATAAAAAAAAGTCCCAGATACATATCTATACACAGCAGATGGCCTTGTTCGACATCAAGAAGTCCGTATTCCTATTTGGCGTCATCGTAAGCAATTCGTACCGGGACATCATAAAAAACAATCCTAGATGACGATTCCCACAAAAAAGCACCGCCCCCATTGATAGGCCGAACAACGGGAAACAACCAACTAGGATACCAAAAAGAACCCGGAGGACCGGTATAAAAGACAATCCCGGATGACGATTCCCACATACAAGCACCGCCCCACGCTCAAAAGGCCGAACAACGGGAAACAACCAACCAGGATGCCAAGACAATAAAAAAAAAACGGATGACTGGTCCCACATGAACCACCGCTACCTGCTGACTAAATAGACCGAATAACGGAACAAAACCAACCGGGATGCAGACAAAATCACCACAACAACTCTAACATATCCATAGTAAAAAAAAGTAGGCCCGCAAAACGAAATACCCCAGCAACTGGGAAGAATAAAGGAAAAGGAGAAGGAACAAGAAAGGGAGGATTGACAGGAACATCGCATATAATTTATACAGTCGTATATATTGTCAAACAGAGCTGCCCAGTAAACCGTACGCAGAGAGGAAGAAGAGAACAACAATCAAGGGACTGTGCCAAACTGTTCCGTCCTAGTCTCACCGACTCATCAGGAGGATGAACCCTCTACAGTCTGCATAATCCCCTAACTGATTACACTGTCAGTGATAATCCACCTTACAGTCTTATATAAAGATATTTAGATATGTATATCATCGTATATCGTCAAACAGAACCGCCCGGTAAACCGTAGGCAGAGAGGGAGAAGAGAGAGCATTTGATATAGCGTTCATCCTCCCGATGAGTCGGCGAAACTCCAACAAAACAGTATGTCACAGCAGCTCGTTTGTCAAGGTTCATCCTCCTGCTGAGTTGGTGAAACTCCAACGAATCAGTGTGTCACAGCTTCTCGTTTGTCCTCCTCTTCTCCCTCTGTGCCTGCCGTTTACCGGGCAGTTCTGTTTGATGATGTATACAGTCATGCTAGCTCCTGGCAATCGCAACCACATCCGTACCCGCGTTTTCCAGATGCAGTGGTCATGCAAGGAAATTGTTATAAACTCCCAAACACAATTCCTCTTCGGAACAAGGACCAAGAGTTCAGTAAGACTTTCACTCTCAAATCAGGACTTTCCTAGACGCACGTGACCGCAGTTAAAGCCAGATCCATTCATAAACTCCTCAGATGAGTATATGACACGCTCCTCCCTGTTATCATTCGAGATTTGAAAAAAGGCACTGAAAGGCAAGCTCATTATATAAATACTTAAATAATAATATTCCTGCATCTTTCATGATAAATATGATATGAGTATTACATATGAATAAGACTACGTAAGACTAAGATTTCATGTTTAAGGCCATACTCGAACGAGGATTTTATGGACTCAGCTCCGGACGTGACTGCAGTCAGATGCATTCAGATGCATTCACGTTTGGACGTAATTGCAGTCGGATACATTCAAGGAAGTGCTAGTGTGAGTATGCCCTAGTAAGAGTTCAGCAAACGCCATACTGTTATGATGTCTATCAAGCGCTACCAGCGTGAGTATGCCTTAAGAGGTCAGCAAAAAACGTTATCCTGTTATCATGCATATCCACTTTCCAATCTTTAAGGGAAAGAAATTGATTTATGAAAGCTCGCCATTACCTGTCAAATGAAAAATCGGCCACAAAACTTTCTCCAGAAACGCTCACAGTTTCTCCAAAAAAAAAAAAAAAAAAACTTTGATTATCAGCCCTCTATACTCAGTCGGTGGTAGCATGTGGTGGAAGCCGCACGGCGGGTATGTTGGGAGCCTCCAGAGGATGACCGTACCGCAAGCGATCAAAACACCGCATCGAGGATTGCACCCGTGCTAAGTTTGTTGAACTCCTTAGTGAAATATCTTATACATGTGAGAGCAAGTGTCAGCCATTGCTTCTTCTTCTTCTACTCCTTCACTGCCTCCGCGCTAGCTGCTACCCTTTGGCATCTGTCCTTTCGGGAACTCTCGTCAATATCTTTTTTTTCTCAACATCATTCGTTTGCCCTATGATGATGCTTTCATGGCTCTCCTTTGCGCTAAAAAAGACTTGCTGTCAAAAGTTTTTTTCCAGTTCGACCATACTCACACTTGGACTTTGTTGAATGCATATCACCATACTCACACTTAAGACTTTGTTGAATGCATATCACCAATTTTACCGCCAGGCGGTGATGCATCTGACCGCAATTACGTCCATGGAAAATTCAAAGCATTCCTTAGTGTGAGTGTGGCCTCTTTTGCGGTCGGAATATGCCTGGGCACACTACTTGTTCTAGAGCAACAGAGCGCCGTCATCCAAGGGGGAGGGAGAGGAGGGCGAGGAGGGGGAGGGGGGGGGAGGAGGCGGGAATAGAAACAAGACATAATAGAAAACGCCGCCTACTGCCAGGGAGGGGGGGGAGGAGGCGGGAATAGAAACAAGACATAATAGAAAACGCCGCCTACTGCCAATAGACAACCACCTGGGATCAACTTGGCTGGCCTTCCTGGATACGTAACGCATTCCCATCATATCAGAGGATGTTTTTTTTCCCCTCTCAGAAGGCTTATTTTTTTCCGCCTCTTTTTTTGAGAAAAGTCATAAAACCTCCCTGCGACGAAACCTTTGTATCCATTTCCCCGCAAAAGGGGAAAAAGGTGCCACAGACCCCAAAATCACTTTCTGCATCATTTTTGCACCCTGCAAAACACTTTCCCGCCATTTTTACACAGCGGCCGTAACCGCCCCTGCCAGGGTGCAAAAATGACACCAGGAATGATTTTGGGACCTGTGGCACTTTTATCTCTTTTGCAGGGAAATGGACACGAAGGTCTCGTTGCGGGGAGGTTTTATGACTTTTCCCTTTTTTTTGTTGGCATTATGCGCACGGGCTTCTTTTTGGCAATAACAAGGGGGCAGCCTCTGACATTAAAGAATCAATCTGATTCATCATTAAAAATTTGAACTGACGACATTTTTTTAATTTTCCCCCGTTTTTTTTTCAATATGCGCACGGGCTTCTTT